ATGGAGGTCTCTACACCGTGATTGACGGGGCACGCCTAGACCGCTCCTTGCTACCCTTAGCTGGTGATGCTTATAGTTCAGCATACATTACGCCCAGGGATTTTCAGCAAAATTTAAACGCACTGTCCATTCAGGAGCGTTACATGCAACCTGCGACACTTTGGACGCAAATGGTAATAAGGAACTGTCATTGTTCACTGGCATCGGTGGCTTTTTATTTGCGATGAAAGATGTCTTTGTTCCAATTGCATATTGTGCCGAAAGTGGATTTGGTGTTAGGTGCTGGATTGCCAGAAACGTTGCAGAAACGTTGCAGGGGCGTTGCATGGATACTTGCTGTGCAAAGAGGGTTCTGCTTAGTTGCAGTACTGCATCTTTTTGGGGTATGGCCTTCCATACATACATATTTGCAATCGCAATTCAGGCGAAAACCTCTGTAATACGTAGCAAAATTGCATCTTTTTGGGGTATGGCCTTACATACATGTACATATCGCCAAAGAAAAGCACTGTACAGCGTATCTGTTCATCAATTCCTTCTCTGGAGAAGAAAGAAAGTATAACAAAATTTAGGATGAAGGTTTTGGACTTTCCAGAGGTTGCTGCTATACATGCACTAAGGTCCCTTCTGCGACCGACAACAAAAAGAGAGCGGGATGGGTGACTCCCAGGTGAACTTTGTGACCTTGTCGCGTGCTTGTGCCTGCTCCTTTCGGGTTATTATAGGAACTGTCAGTACATAACGCTGCCTAACCACTCTCTCACAAAGCTCCAGGCCAGCTTCTCAAAGGCGGGCAAGTCTCGCAAGGGATTGGTAGTCTGGAATCCAACCCGTCCCCTCCTGATGTTGTGTTGGATGGTTTGGGGTTGGAGAATGGCCAGCCCATCTGCCTCGTCGAAAAAGCTTGCAAGTGCTGCGGGCGCGCCCCCAACATCTGGAGTCATTTCCAGAGAGAGCCTTGCGCTCAGCCCAGGCTGCAGAAAGGCGGCAATTGTCATGTCCGGGATGGAGCTGTCAGGACGAGCGCAGACAATGGTTTTGAAGACTGCATCATTGGATTCCGGAGCACGGACCTCCAGCTCCAAAAGGTAGTCAATCCTTGTACTCTTGCCAACGCTTTTCTTGGCCTTGGCTTCTGTCAATGGATGAAACATGTCGTAACCCAGCTGGCTTGGTGCGGAGGTGAGCTCCAACTCCTCTGACAAAGTGCTGCCTATGTTCTGAAAGAGCTTTGAGTAGCCCCTGTAGGGCTTCATGAACGTCCCGCATGGGACCACAGGACCCACCGCACGTACCCGAGGCTTGCAGATGAGTACAGGGCTGCTGAGTAGATTCAAGCTTGAGCAAGCCATGGTTGCCATCTCTGTGGAAAAGGTTGAGAATTGTGTCAGCAACTTTTGCTGGAGGATGAAGTCCTATTGCAGAATTCCCGCCACGCACTGCCACCCCTCAGCTTGTTCCAGCCATTTGAGGCCATTGGGCAGCCACCTTTTCGACATGAGACGCCACTATGCAAAGAGTATAAGTGTCAGAACGAGCCCTCACTTTTGGCATTCTTCGCTTTTGGCATTCTCCACTCTTGGCCATGCTGGACTACGAGAGCATCTTAGTAGCAGTCTCCATCACCTTCTTCATCCTGACACTGGTCATTGGGCGCCTCCTCGGTCTTAGGTTTACCCTTCACCGCTCCCCCAGTCCCCACCTATCATACAGCACACTCTTCCCACATAAGGCCTGTCCACAGCAGTTGGCAGCGGCTGCAGCCTAACATTGATGCAGAGGGAGATACGCATTCTCTTGTGCGTAGCCTTTTCAGCCTTCTTCGTCCTCCTTGTTGTCGTGGCTATCTTAGCCCCTTCCCTCTGTGGATCGCCGACCAACGCTGCTCTGACCGAAGTAGTGGTCCAAAGAGATCAAGACAGCGATGGCACCGTGCAGTGAGCTGACCAAAAAGGGGCTCCCATGCCCGCTTCAAGCGCTTGCAGGCAAGGCCTTGTGTCACATACACCACAAGTCTGCAGAGCTGGAGGAGACTCGCAAGAAGGAGGAAGCAGCACGAACGGCTCGGGGCGTGAAGCTCTGCATCGGAGGCGGAGAACAAAAGTGCCCTGACAAGGCGGAGCTCCCCCTCGACTCTGATCAGTCAACATGCGACGCATGCATCAAGAAGATCAGGGAGCGCTCGCTGGTCAACAAGGCGAAGCGGGACGCAGCCACTGCAGAGAGGAACAAAGCCAAGGCCACCAAGGGCGTCAAGGAGTGCATCGCTTGCCACAAAGAGCGCCCTGATGCTGACTTTGTGGCTGAGCGACGCGCAAAAGGAGGCGGAGAGCCAGTCTCCGACCGGTGCAAGGCGTGCCGGGAGCGGGCCAAGGAGGACCTCCATGAATCTTCCTCGGACCTCCATGAATCTTCCTCGGGTGCCGGTGTCGTATGGTCCTCGTAGATATCCTCCGCATTGACTACAAGGTGCAAGCTCGAGAGCTTCCCATTAGCACGCAGCAGACGTGTCAAACTATCGAGATCTAACCAGCACTCAATCGACTTATCCATCACCACTTTGGCACTTCTCGATTCTGAGCAACAGGTGACCGTGCCCCAGTAGGTCTCTATATGGAAGTCTTTGATCCTGGCCTCAATTCGCAGCACCCCCGGGAAAACACTGTCAGGCTCCCTCAGTGCCCCCAGCACGACCACATTGCTTAGCTGTGGAAACCGGTGGCTGGGTTGGAAGTACGTACACAAGTCATCAAGTCTTCCATTTGCTACATACTTTTCAAGGCCCCTCAGATCCAGCACCAGCTCTTGCAATGTGCACGTGTTCCTTACACCACCTGACAGAACCCGACCGACATGATCCACGACTGCCTCGCCCAATGGCTTCCTCCTCTTTGCCTTCATCATAGTGGGGAGTGAGCAGCGGATCACCCACTTGCCATTATTCCGAGCGCGCTCGAATAGTAAACCCCGAGCTCCAACATATGACATAAATGTGGTGTCGTCAGGTAATCACCACGTCGAACATGCAAAAATATTCCTCGTGTGGTACCCGAAAATCGTGTCACCACGTCGTTTTTGACCGATAAAGTCAGACCACTCATTGAACGTAGTTCACGTATCGAAAATGATGTCGATGCGTATTTATAACTCTGAAAGTATCCACTGAACATGACATTCCGGTAATCGGGTACCACATATCGAGTGTAAGTCCATGGATCGCTCGCATTCTCGCGTACCACACTCGTCACCAACCTTCGAGCATCAAAATCAACAAAGGGTCGGAAGAAAGCGAAAACGGTATCGAAGTAGTCCAGGTCAGAGTGGCGATTGGGTTCGACCTCCACGATTTTAAAAGGACGTTTCAAGCGCCGCGCTGATTCGTATGCAAAAATTAGTTGGAACAATTTGTTCCCGAGTCCTCCATGAAGTCTCACGGAGATGAAGTAAGACATTCTTTTGTGATTGGGCACAAAAAGATTGTCAATGCTTGACGCGGTGCAGCTGTGCCACATCAATCACTAACTTCCGACTCGAACATTGTAAAGGACCCCAACAGGAAATTCTCTGTCGGTTCGTATTCCGTGTTTCTTAGCCAACAACGAGATTACGCTCTGATCACTTCGGTGTTCTCGAAACGTCGAGATTTCTCGTCCAGAAGTTTCAAAGTCCATTAGATTTCTATGACCACACATGCGGTACCATTCATCAACGAACGCCACAGAGTCTGGGGACTTTCGAATGAGCAAGAACCCTCCCCAAACTTGCGGAGTTTGACCGTGTGTCTCGAAATCGACATGGAGCTCGTCGCAAGCTTCGCGTTTCGTCCAATCCCTTTCGATAAAAGCACCTTCGCTTGGTTTGTTCTTAAAGAGCGCAACGTCATTCTCTGTCAACAACTTGGATGCGAGACCCCGGAAATCTTGCAGGAAATAGTATAACGAATCACAGTAGCACAGGATCTCTCCTGGTTGCAGCTCGCTCAAGCGTCTTTTGATGATCATGCTCTTCCAACACCAAAGACCAAATCCCCTGGACACCGAGAGGACATCATGAGGTGTGTTACAAAAGTCCGCACAAAAGTCTGTCGGATCATATGTATACGAGTCGACGAACCGAGCTACATTTAATGCAGTGTTTGAAAGAAATCTCGCATATTCTACATAGGGACTACCGGATGCAAACGTAAGAAAGTGCATGGTCTACCAATCAGTTTGTTTCTTTTGTAGCCATCCTGACGCTTAACAAAAGCTGAACTACTCAGAAAGCAAACCATCGGAAGGGGGATGAATGGTGAGTAATGGGCATTTACAAGAACCTCATATTGAAATTCAATGTTTATGTTTCAAGGTAGGTTGGCATGACACAAGCGGACGCCGCGAATCGCGACTAATAGATTGTGTTTGAGCAAAGGAATGTCAGCCAAACAGTTTCCGCTAGGCAAACAATGGCTAGGTAGAGAGTCTAGACTGCTTGGATCAACTCGTACAATCGTGGAGCTTGCACTGCTGTATGATCTTGGACTGTGACTCTGTATCTGGACGGTGATGTAGGAGGATGCCCTTCGAGTATAGACCACATGTCCGCCCGAACCCGCCTTGAATTGAAAAGATAACCATGGCCATCCGAAGCCAGAGATGCTCCACTTCTTGTGGTTGATGCATCTATGGAATCGAAAACATCGCGGCCGACCCTCTCTCGCCCAGCACTTGAGGTTCTCCCCATTTGAGCTGCTCTTGAAATCCGCAATGCCAGATCGTTGTTAGAAAAGTAGCGTGAAATTCTCAGAGCCGTATTCTCCGTTCCATCGACTAGAGCTCGAACACCTTCTTCAAATGCCTCAAGGGATGTGTCGGCTGCAGCGGCAATCACCTGGCCGACTTTTGTTGGATCATCCCACATGTAGACGTGACTCGTGAAGCCGTCAAAGACGACCCGATTCCCCATACTGTGGGCAATAAGGTGTACCTTGCGTACAATGGAGTCACCTCCCGCCTGTAGCAGAGAATCTATTCAGAGGCGCATCGTTGCTTTTTGAATTATCCTAGGCAACAACCAGATTTAAGAATTAAAGCAGAAACGATTGTACTACTCAACACCAATAATTCTACCATAACATCGAAACTGAACTAAAAGTAAGCTTGCCTCGCATGCACAGCCTTGACTGGACTGGTGTGTGAGCTCCAGATAGCTTACCCAGGTGTTTGCCTTTGTCAGCAGGCACAGGAAACCACAACCATTTTCATCTCGTGCTCCCAGCCGTTGTGCAACCAAGTTTTTTGAGGAGCGTACTGTCTCTTGACTGTCGCTGATGTAGGCCCCTGGATCAAGTGCGCCCCTGGAAGGCCAGTCCCACACAACCGTCAGGCCTCCAAAGGACAATCCCGCAGACAATCCCGCTGCCCGCTTGACGGCTTTGGTAAAGCTGGTGGCAAAACCGTGAACAAATACAAGTGCCTCCTTCCGAACGGTTTGACGCATGGATGCGTGAAGCTGCCTCCCGACTTCTTCTTGGTAGACTACTGATGACCTCTGGGAGACAGGAATGGCTTCCACTCGCACAATTTCGATCAAGTCCACTTCAGCCCCCTGTTCAATCCAATGCTCCGGGACTGCCAGATCCACCCAGCCGCACTCGAAAGGGCCATCGTCAGCAGCACGGCGGCGAGAGGTGTAACCAACGCCATCGTGGTCAGCATCTCGTGGCACTCGCTCCCGCTCTGTTGCATAAAGGATTCGGATGGTCTGCTGCTTAATATGCTGCTTTGCAACTGATGGAAGGGTTGATGCCGCATGCGGAGAGCTCCTACCCAAGACCCCACTTCTATCACCTACGCTCCCGGCTATCTGCTTTGGCTGTCCCTCGGTCGGTGAAGTGGCGGTCGATGTATGGGGAGCACCGGATGGGGACACTACCGAAGATGGAACTGACCCCGCCAGCTCAATAACACCAAAGGCGTTCAGAGCATGTATGAGAGCTTGCGAAGCTGCAAGTGCAGCCGCAATAGTGTTATTCCAGGCCTGCTCGCTGACTGCGGCCCAGAACTCCACGCCCCCAATACCTACCTCGCTCTCCGCAGCGCAAAATGTTTCTTGGCCCCTCAGGTAATCAACAGGCTGCCCGGCAGCTACAGCGCATTCGTGAATGTAGTCTTCAGCCCAAGGTAGCCACTCCGCTAGTTTCAGGAGACCCCCCATACCTACGTCCCCGTCAACCAAACACTTTGTCGCGTCTGCAAGTTCCTCCCAGGCGTCCCAAGTTCCTCCCATTGCGGATGGGCCCTCCAATGTTTGTATGCGTGCCTGAAAGTCATGAAGGGCAGGTAGTACTCCCTCGGTAAGGAGGGGCCACTCACTGAGCTTTGTCCTCGAACGTGCACACCTCATGAAGAGGTCGTCCAAGTCCAAACAGAATGCGGTGATGAACGCTATCGTTGACAAGCATCGCGCATTTGCGTCGGCAAATGCAGTTGCCAGGGCCCGTGCTCCATCATCCCCGATCTGATGTTCCTCGAGGTCTAGGGTCTGCAGGTTGGGGCACGTGCCCTCCTTGCCCAGGGCCGTTGCCAGGGCCCGCGCTCCCTCTACCCCGATCTGGTTGTAGTAGAGGTTTAGGGTCTGGAGGGCGGAGCACGTGCCCTCCTTGCCCAGGGCCGTTGCCAGGGCCCGCGCTCCCTCATCCCCGATCTGGTTGAGGCTGAGGTCTAGGGTCTGCAGGTTGGAGCACGTGCCCTCCTTGCCCAGGGCCGTTGCCAGGGCTTGCGCTCCCTCATCCCCGATGTCGTAGGAGTAGAGGTCTAGGGTCTGCAGGTTGGGGCACGTGCCCTCCTTGCCCAGGGCCGTTGCCAGGGCCTGCGCTCCATCATAACCGATCTGGTTGTAGCGGAGGTTTAGGGTCTGCAGGTTGGGGCACGTGCCCTCCTTGCCCAGTGCTGTTGCAAGGGCCCGCGCTCCCTCTACCCCGATGTCGTTGGAGTGGAGGTCTAGGGTCTGCAGGGCGTGGCACGTGCCCTCCTTGCCCAGGGCCTCAGCCAGGGCCCGCGCCCCCTCATCCCCGATCCGGTTGCC